AGTTGCCCAGCACATGCGCAGTTTCAACTCTGTCATTCGAGGAGCAGCTCCTGGGCCATTGGCTAAGGCAGTAGACATGTAGGTTGTCTCGCTCGCAACTTTTGGATCTGATGTCTGGTGGCCAGGGTCCAAACGCCCAACCATACGAGGAATATTTACATCCTCAACCTCCAACCTCCAACCTCTGCAGCATGATTGACAGGGCTAACCTGATGGGACTGCGGGCTGCACTTCCAGCAATGAGAACAACACCGAATGTAGTCCTTCACAGAGATGGGGTAATCCCGCCGGCCAAGGTCATACTTGAGGGAAACCGTCTCCGACTTTCGGCAAAGCTTAAGACCCTTGATGATCGGCACTCTTTGAGGATCCACGCTTCCGTGTGCCCGAATGTCGGCACCTGAAAACACAAAAAGTCTACCAAGTCCTCAGCTAGACCAGAAATTCAGATGTCACGATTACAGCGTGCTTACCGAGAGCTTCCGGAAGCAGAAGCTCCTGAAAGTCTGACGCCGGTGGTTTACTCTAGGAAATCAGGCTCAAAGTCGATGGAACGCGAAGGTTGCGTTAGAAGGATTAGCGACGTGCCAGGAATGGACATTTGTGCATACTCGGATGGGTCATCAGAAGGACATGGACGCTCCGCCTGGGATTTCGTTCTGAAAAAGGATGGGAAACTTATCGGCAAAGGAAGTGGCATTAAGCACGGGGAAGAGGTGCTGGATGCAGAGATAGTAGGAGCAAGGAAGGCTCTGGAGGCCGCACTGGAGTTCTTGGAGAACGAAAAGTGCAGGAAAGTAGGAGGGTCGCAGCAAATCCACGTGTTTCTAGACAGCCAGCAGGCTGTAAGCGCACTAACGACAGGCTCGTCCTCAACCAGCCTTGAAGACGTACGCAAATTACGTGCGTTATTTAAAAAGGCTGAAATTTCAGTGAAGTGGGTTCCAGGGCATGCAGGAATCCAAGGAAATGAAGAGGCAGACGCCATGGCCCGTGCAGCACTTCGAGAATTGCCTAGCCCGGAGACACCACCAGGATCATGTACTCTGGCATATCTACGTGTTCTTATGAATCGCAGACGACAGAGGCTGCTAGACGACTGGTGGGAAGAGGCCTGTCCGCCTAAATACCGCCAACTCAACCTCCAGGTGCGGAGACGCAAACCACCTGAACTGTCTCTCTCTAGACACCTACTCCGGGCACTAATCGCAGCACGAACGGGTCACGGCAATTTTGTGGTATACCATCGCCGTTTCGACGACCCATACGATCCTATGGAGTGCTCTTGCGGGAAGGAAACTACTCCAACCCAATTCATCCACTGTAGCCGTCAAGCACAAAAAACACGTAGGCTCAGAAAGTCAATATCCCACGCTGACTTTGTCAAAAAGCTTCTCGGACCCGAGTGCCACGATAGCTTCAAAAAATTTGCGCAGGAAACCGGCTGCTTTGATAGCTAAACCGCCCACTCATCCACTGCTCTCAGCGGGGATCAGATAAACTAGTCATTGCCACAACGCATGACACGAAAGGGATCGATGCGAGAAGTGTCGTTTCTCTGAGGAAATCTTTTATGTACTTGAATTTAGGGTTGAAGGATGGAGTCTCGATTTCGGGGTCGGAGTGGATGGTGTCTTCTGAGTTATAATTTACCTCCTACTTTTTCTGTAGCGGGTCTCGCGGTTGGAATGAGCTGGGCCTGTTAGCAGTGATCCCCGCCGGCTCCACCAGTCTTGTACCTATAGTGGACCTAGAGCTTTAGCTTAGGACATTAATATAATAAAAAAATAAAATAAACAAACAAACAAACAATATCAAAGAAAAGTACAGAATAGATGATTCATCGTTAAGGAAGAGCACTCATGCCTCGGATTTCATTTGCAGGTACCACTGCCAAGTTATGGTGGCTTTTTCTTCACCCCAAGTCAACCCTCATCCGTGAATACCCACCCAGGGGAACGTCTCAAAAACCCTGAGTTATCCAGACATGCCTCCATCTTCTTTCAACTTTTCTCCGCGCGAAATATGGTCTGAGATATCTCCTTCCCAAGTGGAGTAGGTGCCCAGGCTACTCAAACCATACCGGAGAACACCACCAGGAGGCGGACCACAACACCTTCCATCGTTGGCTTGTTTTTATAGTGTCAGCTGCGCTCTCGCAAGCGAAGTCTTGGCGCGCACAAAGCCCAATTCGAAAAACTCCTTGCCAAAATTCGGAATCTCATGCACTTCGAGGTTATATCCGTCCTTCGCATCATCTTGTCAACTTGTCCAGATCCCTCTCACGTCCATCCCAAAGAACTGTCTCCCAGATTTGTGCGCCACGCTTTCCTTCCTCCGTCGGGTATAAATATCGGCGTGGGCGTGTATTTGGTGACCAGCTGAGGCCAGAGAAGTTCGAAGAGTGGTGTGGTCACTGGAATGAGGATGTACTTGGTCGTACTTGTAGACTCGATGAGACGAAGATAGGAGTCAAACTCGTTGGGAGCGAAATAACGACGTGGATGAGTAATTTGGATTTTTGCCTCGTGGGCCAACTTCTTTGATATTGCGAAATTTGACTGAACTTGGCTCTGGGAGAATATTTCACTCCCAGGTTCGTAGAGGACACCGCGTACAGGTGTTCAGTCTTGCCCTCCATAGAAACGGATCAGTTGTAAGCATTTACAACGTCGCGCGCTACTATTACATCACACTGCCTTCACTTTGATGTATTATTGCTTATGCAAACATTTGACCCTCCTCCGTGAGTACCCACTAAAGGGAAATTTACAAACTTTGATATTCCAAGCATACCTTCGCCATACACGCACACCTGTGTGGGAAAAATTGTAGTCGAGTCTTGCCATACCCAAATCAGCGACTTCTTGCCTTACACGGGACCTGTATCAAAGCTATCCAACGTCTCTTTGGGAGACCGGCGAGGATGATATAACTCTATACCATAAGGCCACTCTACCTAATTTCACGAGTCTTCCAGACTCTCGTAAACGAAGCCGCGGCGAACATGAACTCTATAATGTAGAAAACTTATTTTAAACTCAAAATTTCGCTACTTTCGAGAGCATATCTATCCTCAATGTAATGTAGTCTACCTACAAAAAATTTTCTTACTCCCATCCCAAATATCTAAACTGCCACATTTGTGGGCCATGATTTTCATCATCATATGCTTATCCTAAATGCCGTGGTCATATTTTTGGAGGCTAGCTGAGGATAGGCGCGAATGAAATTTTATTCGTGGCGGGCACAAGCCCTGCACTCGAAGAGCATGACACGGAAAAGACTAGCTTCCCCAACGACTACATACGACAATAACTTAATTTGACATTTGGAATACTCATGTAGTTGATGCATTCGCTGATACTACTCTAGACCTTGGCGCTTGGGACTTTCACCCTTCCCTCAACCGTTAATATCCACCAAAGGGAGACAGGTTACCCCTTTGGCTACCCTAACATGCCTTTGTCATCTTGTATATAGCTGCCGTGCGAGATATGGCCTCACAGTCCTCCCTTTCTCGAGTGAGGTAGGTGTTCAGGCTACCCAGACTTTAATTCGGGGAGATGACGACCAGGAGGCGGACCAAAACACCTTCCATCGTTGCCTGTTTTTAGATTGTCAGTTGCACTATCCGAAATCGTTGCCTCTGCGCCCACAGACGCTCTTAGGTCGAAAACACTCGAATAATTTGTGTCCCAGCATGCCCATGTGTGACCTCTTCACTCGTTCGTCCCACATCCCAGATGCCTGTCCTCCCTCAAGATGTGAAGCCCCATGAAAGCAACGGTCCCCCATAGAGCAAGACCCGAGCTTTGTGGATTATGACTTAAATTCCTCCTCGCGGGTATACATAGCATCGTAATTTTGCGGTGAGAGGTGGACGGTTTTTTATGAGGCAAATTCCCTATTTCAATTGGAGTAATGTCACTATCAGTATTTGAGGCGAGGTGGCGTGGTAAGATTGAGCCAGAGAACTCGCGTGAGAATGATAGATAAAATATTTGTGGGGAAATCGTTGATTTTAGATGTGCTTCAGGTTGCTTTCGACTTTGATTCTGATGCGATCCTCCTTGGCTATCCCAAAAAATCGGAGCATACTGAGCGATTACGCCGACACCACTGGAGGTGAAGAATTCTCCTATGCCGGCTAATGGTAGGCGTGATTGCTAGATATTTTTATTTTGGCCAAGCTCCACATGTGGATGAAACTAGATTTAACATGCTAGCGCGCTATGCCAACACGAATAATTCATAATTATTGTGCATCAGTCTCTAGTGGACTCGCTCTGCGGCAATCTTACGATGATAGTTTTTTTTTATCGTGACCGGATACTACCCAGCACGCAGATGGCATGGCACGAGGAACAATTTTGCGATGTTGTTTGTGGGTGGAAATCACGGGAGACCATTCACGACAGCTCGATTGGGCTACAGATTTCAAACGAATTACTCCAAGCTTATAAATCAACTATGTAATTAACTTGTTTAGTCTCACATATTTAAGATTTTTGATGTTTCCTAAGTGTGGGTAATGAAATAGTTATATCGGGTTCGTAATTTTTCAGTTTATTTAGGATTAAAATTAATCTGTAATCTAAAGAGATATGGGTAGGAGAGAGGGTCCTTATTGGAGATAATTTGATGGAAGCTATCCTCTCATCATGGCTCGGCATAGTAGATAAATTGACTCGACTTTGATCACTTAAGCCACAAGTTGCATTCTTTGATGTTACCTTAGACCTTGAACCAGCCCGCACATGAAAGTCAGTCTACAGGCCAATGGACCAAACTCATTTCCAGTAAGTTCTGGATTAATATGTGCAGAATGGAAATCCATGCTCATGTATACAGCCGTGCATCTCTAGCTTTGTCCATAGCTGTAGAACAAGTGATAGATTTCCTGAGAAACTAACACCTGGTAAGCAGCACAAAAAAATCAGTAAGGGTTTAGATAACGTAACTACCCATCCAGTGGATCTAATTCTTATGCGTAGTATTCAACTCCTTAAAGCTCGTAGTCTCTCACCTAATCCATCCTCTTCTACCTCAGATGGACCAGTCCGCACTGGTGCAGATTTTAAAGCTTGGGCACCCTCCATTTCTTGATGTAGCTCTACGCCGGCTTCATCAGCAACTTGGTTTATGAGTCTATCAACATCGTCTTGTGGCATTCCGACAGCTGTAGCCGTGGCAGTAGCATTTTCGTAATACCCGGTTGCTACATCTAGATCTTCAAACTGGGTCTCGAAACGGTCCATAACAGCTGAAATCTGGGCACAGTATGAGCCAACTTCCCGATAGGAGTCATAACTGTGTTGAGACTTGAGTTCAACTTACTTTTTCTAAATCCATGGCTTTCATAGCTTGATCCATTCCCTTGACAACATTCATCATGCTGCCTGTGACCTGCCTCATCGTCACTGCCGTCTGTACACGGCTAGCAACTGCATCAATTCGGCTACCTAGTCGTAAGAGATTCAACCGTTCATTTTGCTTTCGAATCGCATTCTGTGCATAAATCTTAGAGATATCTGTATGTCCAGCTTGAATAGCTTTCTTGAGCTTATCCTTCTCTGCTTTCTCGTCTTTCGAAGCTTTGGCTGCCTGTCGATTTAATTGCTTGGCCGTAAACTGCCAAATAAAATTAGCTAAAATATGAATACTTCAAAGAAGTGAAAGAGATTGGAAAGACTAAATTAGCAATCTTAGTGGAAAAACTATTATTTTTAACAATCGCAATTACCACTAGATGCCAATGCCGCTAGACATACCTTGAGATTGAATAGGGCCTTTTCAAGACTAGACATTTTCTTGGGGATCTAATGTTTGTGCCGGTTTTGGTTGATGCTGTTCTAGCCCTAGAACTCACTCCTTGGTTGATATTTTAGAATCGGCTGATGAATTCTCGCTGTAAATATGGTGGGGGCTATCAGCGCTCTAATCGGGTGATAGAGTGGATGTTTCACGTGGAGCACAGAGGCTCATGAATACCCAAATCTATGGTAACCCAAAGTCAAGATTCATACAAGGAACATACTATTTTAACTCCAAACATTAGGTCCTTTTAGAGTTACTAATGCCTTCCCTCGTCCACGTGTCTGCCAAGCATCAGGATCAAACACGGCTAGTGACGGCCAAACTCTAGTCGTAGCAGTTATAACTTCCCTACTGATAACAACGAATCCGATTCTTTGATAGAGATATAGTACAATCGTGGCATAGGATTGCCAAGGAGAAGGGACATTATCACGTGAATTACTCGAGCCTAAGGCCAACGGATTATTGCAAATCTCACGTGATCAAATAATGGATGTCAAAGATGTTTGAAGATAGATTATGTTTGAAGTTAGAATAATTTGGGCTGAATAGCACGATATATTGTTGATATATATGGTAATATTTGTCATGTACATGATTTTTCCAGCCCCTTCGTTCGAGAGTGATTGGCCTCTGCCGGTTTCCGACGAAGTCTGGGTCTCTCAACTTTCTTCTGGGCACCTCCAGTGGTGCAAAGCGATTCGCTTCTATACTGGAGATGGCTAAGTTTCTATCCGAACTCTGCCGTGTCCGCAACGTGTGATCTAGTAAGGTGAGGAATACGCTGCATAGCGCTCACCATATCTCGGGGAAAATTATAATTAAAGGCCTCTCGGCATCCAACAGTAAGAAAATGTAGTTTCTACTGTAGCAGTCACCATGTTCCCCTTGAGATGGGGCAATAGCGTTCGCTTTCGCCCGGTAGACAATAAAAACAAAAAAATCACTTAGCTTTCCTTCACTAGTCACTCGAACAAATGCGCTCTGTAACCTCATGACAGAGGGTCTATTATTTCCTTGATATATAAGGAGCTAAATGTGCTATTTAACACTCTAAATTTCTAGCATATTGGGCTCTTTTCAGACCTAGGCCACACCCCGTACAGTGCTCAAATTCTCTTTTGTTGTTTAAAGGATCTCTGATGTAGTGCCTGTGATGAACAGCTACTCAGCTCAGTATTTACTCGTGGAAACCATCTACATTTTCCACGGAACCCCCTACCCAATTAAAAAAACTAAGCATTTGAAACGACATACGCAGGAAATTTCCCCATTAAAACTTATAGACCCAACTAGACGATATACACACATCATGTTATGTCTCCTTTCTTTGTAACAAAAGAGGCCAACTTGGTCCAATCCATCATCACCGTATCGTGTGGTGGTGGATATGCCATGGAAACTAATTGCACGGCTTCCGTCCATGATCAAATACGGATAAAAGTTAGAGCTACGACCTTACCATCTAATCTGAATGTGGTTAGCTTCACGATGATGATGATGCTAAGGAGTTTGTTCTAGGAGATAAAGATGATACAGGTTGTGAGACTGGCTAGGAATCCTCATCGAGTTAAAGACGCCAAATGTGGCGATTATTGGCTATCCCAGTTATACAGCTCATAATGAGCGCTTATACCGGCGCCGCTGGAAGGCGAAGAATTAGTCTTTAGCGGCAGATTCTGAAGATAGTAATCTTAAATATTCTAGCTCAAAGCAAAGCTGAAAATTTTGAAGTATTAAATGTTTTAATCTAGTTTGTTCTCATGCTGGAACTTTAGCCCGCTGATATGACTGATGTATTTAAGGTTTGAATACTTGGTCAAGCACGCGCAAGATCTACCACCTCGATAGTCGCGAGTAACTCAGTAGTAATTAGATTATAAATTAAAAACATGCATAAAAACGCGTCTCCAGTAATAGTTAGTGATTTATCCATGTATATTAGTAGCAACGAGAACTATGTATTGGGTTCTACACCTAGACAGAATAAGATAAGGCGTGATTCTTTTTAGCATGTCGGTAGTCCGAGCCTTGAAATTAGCAAACATTATCACAGAAGAGATCAGGCAAATAAAGAAGCACTAATAGAAGCATATCCTCCAACAACCATCGTAACATTAGCGGGGCTCAAAGAAGTATTACGATCCAGTTGAGAAGTGAGCACATCGGGTCGACCTCCTATCTACACCAATCAAAAGTCACCGGATTGGCAAATCCAAAATGCAATTGCGTATACTCTATACAAAACGTTTAATATATGGTCATTGCTTTTCCTCGGTGGGATATGGAAGAGGAGAGGTGCTGCAACAGGCAATAGTAAAGATCTTTCAAAGCTATGATGAACAGCCCTGATGGTATGGACAGAATTCCAAATTAGATACCGTTGAAAGGTTAGTTTGAATAGCTCCAGCTTACAGACGAAGTTGAGATATCAGTCAGTGAAAGCATGAAGCGATAGAGAAAAGGATAGATCGTAATTCGTACTGTATGAGCAGTGTTGACGCACTTCCTCAAGGAAATATAGAAATCCGGTACACGCAAGATAGATAGAAGGTTGGATAGTGCGGTGCTGCATTATCTGGGCCGATCTCCTAACTATATTTTGGATAGCTTCGACACACATACCACTTGAGACAAGAGGTCGCTGATTCGGATCCGGCAAAACACAACCAAATATATTTTGCGACGCAGCTGTATGTGGATAGCGGAAGGCGTTGAAACGTCCGTTTACTGGGTACTCAGGGAGGAGGTTCGACTCATATGTGTAAGCAAATGTACCTCAACGTGGCATTTGCAAATGGAATCTAGAGTATGGGTGTCTGAAGTTCAAAGAGGTATCTAATATATACGCAATGCACTGGTCGTTTGTCATAGCTATGCAGTTGCACACACCTAAATGACAAGAAAAAAGGAAGTCGTGGAGCACACAATGCTTTTCAATATGAGAATAAATTTCCCATAGTGAGAATTTCACACTTTTCAGGACTGTATTTATCCCTAGATTCATCTTGTCAAATTTCCTGACCTATCCAACGTTCATCCCAAGGATCTGATTCCCGGATTTGCGCGCCACAATTTTTCACCCACGCGGGGATTTTTATTTTGGCGAACGTATATTTGAACGTCAAATGATGTCAGAGACTTTTTTGAAGAGAGGTATGCTCATTAAAATTGTGGAAATATTAAGTCGTACTTGAAACCTTGATGAGGCTTTGGTGGGAATTGGACTCGTTGGGAGGGAGGGTTTGGTTAGGTGGAGAGTCTTGTATCATTGCCTTGTGGGCAAACTTCTCTAGTATTGCAAAATTTTTCCGAACTTTGTTCTGGGAGAATATTTTACTCCCAGGTTCGTAGAGGAAACCGCAGATAGATGTCCAGTCTTAATCCTCTTCTTCTAGCGATTCACGCAGTTGGAATGAATTTTGCCTGTGCATAGTGATATCTTCAGACTACACCAACCCTGTATCTGGTAAGATTTCATACTTTAGCCTAGGAGGTTGACAATTCAAGAATGAAAGTTGTCCTCTACTGTGTTGATCGATGTTATTCAATTATATCTCTCCATTGGCAAATTTGCTTCTGTTTTTGAAAATTAGTCCTACAATTCACCCGTATATTGCGTAATATTCGAGAAAAGTTTCCTCGGAGTCGCTCGGAAAAGGATTTTAATAATTCCACGCAAGGTATAACCTGCCAGAGACGAACGTTTAGCGGGTTGGCCGAACTTAATGGTAAAACTTCGTCCGCTTAAGCCATGATGCTAAAGAGGGTGTGATAGGATTCTATCAGATGGCGGTGAGTCATCGACAAATAGAGGACATGATTGAGATATGATGCAAAGATTAAAGAATAAATTTTGTATTTTTTTGTTTCGCCTAGATTAAGCCCTGCATCATTTCGTTGTATGTCCTCCATCATGCAACGCCTTCTGATCTCTACCTAACATTCAAAACCAATCCTTTTTTGGAACGTTCCCAGTCATTCTAGCCAAATCCCACGATTTATTTTTTCTCAATCTGAGATGGACGATTAGACCAAGACCTGACAGATCCATTATCATCAGTATTTCTAATTACCCATGAAACCATTAATATCTCCCTTTCCCTTTACTTCTAACAGACAAGCGCAGCGGCGAAAAGAACGGCAGCACCCACTGCACAGAGAGCTGCTACTTCCCTACCGGAGTCACTACTTAAAGTTCTAGTCGTATTTAGCGCGTACGATGTAGGATTCTTCAATTCCGTTTCGCCGACACCAATATAGCTCTGAGACCTCTCCATTTCGTCCAACGACACCTTGGATGGGATTCTTTTGAAAGACTGAAAATTAGATGAGCGAATTATCCAATATCTCTTTAACAGGGTTTTATCTTTCATGAAAAGGTCATTAAATATGGTAAAACATGAGGCAATTCCCTTTGCATCAGTTTCTGATTGAAAGTTTGTACCAGTGATTAGGCGGCTAGTTTTCTTGAAGTCATCATGAACTAGATCTGGCACTTGATACAGAAACCTTGAAGAAGGAACAGTGTATAGGGGTTTTATCTTGTGGCCCCATTCTTCAGTTGATGAATTTATCGCATGCGGGATAGGAGTCAATAAAGATGTAATCATCGAGCTATGGCTAAGCTTTGAATCAAATCTGCGCCAAGTCGAAAGAGAGGCGGCGAAAGACGCTCTAAATTTACGTAGGCCGAGGCTGTGATCATGACTAGGTATTCTTAGTTTTATGGATCCAGTAGGAACGGTCAGATCGTTCTCCTATATCATAATGAGCTGAATACACAATGAGTACGTCAATCCTTACCTGGGGCCGGTGCCCGTTGAGAAACATACTACGCGTAGTCTCATTTGTACTTGGTAATTCCTTTGCCACCGGTCTATGGGCGAGACAATCTTTCCAGCAAAGTGTTCGGATGGTTCCCAACTTGCCTAGATTAAGATTGCCTTTTGAAATTGTGGCAAGATTGTTTGTCGGAAACACAAAGGCATTGAACCATCTCATCTATGTCTTTTCAGTGAAGCCAAATTTCTAGGTAGTCCAAAACTCACTTCGATGGCTGTAACCTGAATGGCGGTTAAAATGGACACCACTGCAAAAATAAAAACACCCATGATGAAAAGAACGGATTTAGTAATAAAGGGTATAGTATAGACTGAATTGTCTTGAAAGCGTATACTACTTGATCTTTCTGTGGTGTATCGAGAAATAGAAAGAATGTAAATAAAGAGCGATACCAACCCTCAGGACAAGCAAGAATAGTTCATAAGAAATAGGTTTTGGGAAAAGATAGAAACCCCAATTCAAAGATTGTGAGGGAAGGCACGAGAAAAGCTATGATGTCTGTAGAAAGGTAGATGGCTCACTGCATTGAGGATCGTCTTAACGTAAATACTGAAATTCTCCATAACTGAGATTTTTGGCTACCATCGTCAGGCTGTACAGGGTGGATATTTTACGAAACAAATATTATTATTACTGCTACAGGCTTGTAAGAGATAGCAAGTTTGTATTTACGGCGAGTAATATGTCAGACGTCGCGAGAGGTTCGGCTCTGCATGATCGTAGTGGCTGACTTGCGTGCGACAAGATGGATTGTCGAGAAAACTGTTAGATATCCCAGTATTAATAATGAAAAATGACAAGGAAACCCTACTCATAGGGAGCTGGGCTAACTGTTAGATTTATATATATTTACGTGGGATAAAGAATTCCTTAGGCAAAGGGCCATCATGATAATTTTGGAAACTCGCAATCCATCTATCATGTAACGATATAAACTAGAGGGTATTTGAACTAGAATATACCAAGGTTGTCCTCGTTCTCATTGCTACTACTATGGCGAGGTTACAAAAGTTGCCCAATTTAGCTAGTATACACCGCTACTGAATCGTTACTCGTGAAACATTACGACAAAGAACTGGGCAGCCCAAGAGTCTTGTTTGCTTGTCTATGGTTTGATGAAGCCACAAAGAAGTAGCATACTAAACTCCACCTTGTCGGAGCGGCTAGAGAGTTAATCGCTACCCACTAATAACATTAAAAGACTCAACGACGTTGCTGCGCATTCCCTGTCACATACAAGGCTGTCTATCGTGAAGCACCAAATCTTCTGAAACTCGTAGAGACTAAACTGACTTGTTCTCGCTGCCGGCGACTGGAATTCATAATTTGAGCGTCTCGGCTGTTATTCGAACCGAGCAAGGTAATGGTTTCATTCCTCGAAACACGATCGGTCAGCCGGAGAAGACGATGGTTGGTGAAGACGTCGAAGATCCTGGCTGCTCAGCTAATGCAATAATTTCTATTTTTATACATCTACATATCTTTCAGGTATCGCCTGGCTGGCGCCAGAGGTTTTTTGAGATGTTTTCCCGCGCACATGGTTTCGATTGCTATCGTTTCATTGAAGATATATTTCGAAGATCGAGTCCCTGGCCTTGGGTGGCGCCAAATATACGCCCACACAAATACGTATATTCAAAGTAGGAGAACAATCGTGGCGCATAGACGCCGGGGACAGAGCTTCAGGAAGGGTATGAGAGATAATAGGACAGAAAGGCAGAGAGATACTAGTTATGAATACAATCTTGAGAGAGGTTACACAGGGCATGACCCTCGACTTCTATTGGAAAAAAATAATTTATCAAAATTAAAACCCTCAAATGCAGCCAGAATTTTGTTCATTGATTCTAGGATTCTTACATGGTCTTAGACTTGTAGAGGTCTACAATAGAATTCTTATCTTGGGAAGGGTTAGATTTTGATTATTTTGCAGGGAGTTTGAATGATTGATGTTCGTTCACACGATTCTGTTGACACCAATTTGGTTGGATGGTGCAGTGGTATGTTACCTCAACTAGTTTCCCGGGTAAAGTGTTGACATCTTAAATACTTGTCTTGCCTGAGACAGGAGATTGCTGGTTCAAATCCGGCAAAGCTAAATTTCTCGCGATCCATGTGCTCATGGAAGAAAAGGGCATGCTTGGGTAATCAAAGATTTTGAATTACCCTTTGGTGGGTACATGCGTATGAGGGACTACTGTGTCAGCAAACATACCTCAGAGTAGCATACGCGACTGGGATCTAGAGCATGGATATCTGAATTTGAAAGAGTCAGCCAGCGTGCATGCATAGCATTGACTATGTGTCATAACTAGGTAGCTGGATGAGCATTAAATGATTTAAAAAAGAGTAGAAATAAAATAAAACTCCGAGGCAAGATTCCGCATTAAAAGGAAAAACATAAATAATCCCCCTTTCGTCGTTCTGCTTCAGCCGCCACGCGCCCAAGCCTTGATTCCAACCCCTCTTTCCAAGCCAAACCATAAAGGCCATTGATTAAAGACCTCCCAGTCGCAGGTACCTCCAACATTCCCCGACTATCTACTGCCCAGCTCGATGCGTGGACTCGTGGCGGATAATGAAATACCGATTCGGGTAAGACGCCCCAAGTTTACGATTTTCATGCGGAAGATCCGGAAAAGGAATTGGTGGCGTATCAGGCTTCCTGTGTATCACACAAGGAACTGCAGTTAAAAAAAATTGGATGTAGGGAAGTTGTTTCTGTCGAAAAGTTTTCCTCTCTTGTAAAGATGTAGATCGAATTCGTGGCCACCTGCATGGGTCCATGGGGCACTTAGTCAGATGAGAGGGGATCAAATTTGCATACGGAGGAATTGTAGAGCAAAACCAGTCAACCAGTAGAGTATAGAAGCACATAGTGTCTTGCTTTTCGCTTGACAAAACACAGATAGTTACTCACGCCGACCACAACAAGTTGTATGGCTGAGCAGCCTTATCCAAGCTGCACGAATTGGTATCCCTGCCGTACTGGTGTAAGTATTACGAGCTCTTGGAATAAAGCCCATGACATTCACACAGTCAAATTTTGGCGATTCCCTTTGTTTAATGTCAGTGATATAAAAATGCCACCTTCTACTGCCCGGAAACCCTCACAAAAACGGTACTGGATTAGATTAGGTTAACTATATTTACGCAGAAAATTCACTTCGTTCGATCTGACCTTTCAGAGCTATGATGAGATTCGGTGATCAAGAAAGCGAAGTAACAGTCTGATAGCGCTAGTTCTGAAGGCTTTCACCCCGTATCTGGAGTTTAAGTTCATATATCTACTTGCAAGAGACGAGCTCCACCAGTCTGTGATTGTCTGCATAGAAATTTCGGTGGCATTGCCTCCTATTTCGGCGAGTTTCATCCGATCATCTTGACTATGGCTTCGTCAGTCAAACTGAGCCCTCGTGTAACCAGCTTTTCACCCTCTCTTTTCCTGCGATACCCGGAAGCTCCGACATATTTAGTTTTCACACACTGGCAACCCTTTAAATGCCCGGTGCTTTAAGAAAAGGATGGACTATGGGTAGTCCGATAGAGACCGAAAGTTCCAGTGCGTGATCGGTGAGGGCCGAACTGGGAGCTAGGAAGTCGATAAATAGAAGGTAGACACAAGCCCTTGGAGAAGTCTATCTTAAAACATCAAGTATGCGATTATGGCTTATCCATGTGGATCAATAGAAGAGTTAAGTGTAGAAGATACTTTGGACTCGATTGTTTAGAGAAATGATTAAAGATCTAGGGGACGCCAGGAAATCTCCACAAAAGACTCTAGGCCACAAATGGTAAGAGTCTTTGAAAGGTCATAGAAAACGCAGAGAGAGACGTTACTTTGAGAAGATAGTACTGAAAAGTATGGGGGATTTTAAATAAATCACTAAGTAGAGTAAGATGAAGAATGATTTAATTATAGTTATCGATGCGATTATAGTAGTAAGAGCAAGAGGTACCAATTTATTTACAAGAATTTTTACCCTTTTTTTCTCTACCTGTTGCTATCTATTGGGCTAGAATAACCCTAAGTCGCCACAAGTTATTTAGGGACGTTGTTATTAGTGTTAATGTTGGAAAAGATACTCTATACCTGTCGATTGGCCTTATTTTACGTTTACGTAAGGTTAGTTCAATGCAAAACAAAAGGTACGAAAGTTGAGGTGTGGATTCTTGTTGTTTTTCCTTCTATCTATGAACACTGCGAACTGGACGTTCGCAGTATTGGCTGAGTCATCAAGAGAATGACTCAGTAACAAAGAGACGCACCGCACTAAGCGCCTAGTAAAAGACATACATTCCAACAATACCATATAATATGGATATATATGATGAAATAAAGATGACTTGATATTTTATAGTAATAGGAACATTGGACTTATACATACATCTATGGGAGGAATCTCCACTTGTCTCATTTGCCTGTCAAACCTAGTAATGACCAGCCATCTCTCATCTGCCATGATGAGCCAAGGTACACTGTAGTACGTAAATACCCAAACGTTTGTGCAATAGCAGGTGCGATTAGCGCACTCGGGACATGTGCAGAGAGAGTCGATCTTGTCGGGAATCTCAGACAAAACAGATAATGGTTGAGTCCTAAATTCGAGAGTGAGAATTTCCAACGGTTTATTATTCAGGAGATAATGATATATTAAACCTGAAGGAGGTAACGTAGAAATTCCAATCTCATCCCAAGATGAATGCAGTTATGGGTCCACTTAGAGGAGCCGTTATTCCGTCGTAATCTCCCCTCTCCAGCCAACGAAACATAAGCAGTTAGCGGCTGCATGGCTACCGATAAAATTATCAAGTTTCGCTAGGTGTGGGGCTCTCCTACTTTAGACACTAGGATTAAACCCGATGACATTTTAAACCTTCTGAGGCGTTCGATAAGGCCAGTCAGCCGAATGCAGCAGGCCTTTATTTACCTGTGAGCGTCTCTCAAACCCCCTAGCTCTCCTCTTGCACCTTCCTCCATTCCTGCTGCCGGAAAAACTGAGGATCGCGAAAAGATGTCTGAAGAGTCCTGATCGAGGGAAATTATCGTGAAATAGCTTAGTCCAGTATCCAAAAGTCGTTGTAGACGTGGGGTTGTCGAGTAGCTCGAGCACTCAAGGTGCCCTTCTGGCAAGTTAACTTGGAATCTTAGTTTATAAGAGACTACTTTGTCTACGAGTTGAAACCTGCTTTCGTCAAGGATGAGGGGTCTACTCCTTTGCTTTAGGGGGCTATTTGTATATCCGCTGTTAGATGGCATATGTTGATATATAAAGAGGGCTTCTCCGACTACCATTGAAGTACTAAACACTGCAAGTCTTTCCATTTCGGCATAATTATCGTAGTGTATTTTATCGGAGTAATATATGCGAGGAAGAGACTAACCAGCTCAAAGCTGAAAAGTTATGACTCAATCTTGGCTCTATAGGCTCAATGGTGAGAGCTGGAGGTTTGTTGAGGATACCGCCGATAGTTGTTGAGGCTTTGCTCTCCTTTAAATTAGTGACTCTCCGCGTAGGAAAAGATAAGATAGTATTTCTATAGGTTTAAAAAACGAATATAATCCTGCAAACACACTTCATCATTGCATCGATGAGTAGAGAAGATAATTAAGCCATAGGCCGGGAACTCCTGGCTAACAAACTTTCCGAGGTGTTAACAATAGAATGAGAAGTAGCACGTAAAGGTCAATAAGATGCCAGTTCAGGGTAATTGAATTCTTACTCTTTTATACTTAGCTCAATGAAAGATCAACAATAATACAATTTTGAGGAACAATACCCTCATTTCTTTGCTTCAAAAGATTTCGATAAAAGTTAATAAATAGCCTCTTACTCTCCAGTAAGAATTTGAACCAAATTTAGAATTCAACAACTCCTCCAATAATCTCCTACTTATTCGTAACATGTATTTGTCTTCATAGTTCGCTAACGCCCTGTAATATTACAATAAAAACGCCTAAAATTTATCACTCATTTTTATTCTTATCTTGCTCTTAAACGCTAAATTGAGCTTGCAAAGAAACATAAACAGGTCGAGTCACCATTTTACAAAAGAATAGTCGAGGAAAATACTAACATGCTTGTGAATATGCAAGAGTTTATCGCATGAGCTTGAGGAAACCAGAACGAAATATTGTGAAGATATACCCAGAAATCCCATGTATTCAAGGATCTAGTGATGTATTTTTTACAGTACTGCGTTAAGAACATTTGAAATCTTAGGTTTACTCTAAGCCTAAATGGTACCCCTCGCTAGTTCATCTTTTTGCTATCATAGGCACTATAGAGGTGTAGGCAGTCTATGAGTTAATATTATCAAATTTTGTCAAGGTTGGCCTGATGATAAAATTGCCGAATGAGGCGTGTTACATGAGCAAAAACTGTTTTAAGAAGTCTGATACCTAATATTTGAGTGTACCGGGCTATTTTGTGTAATTTTCTGCATCTAATCAAAGAGTTTTTACGCCTATTTGATTCTGAGGTCGAATCCAGTTGCCGAATAGGTCAAATGATTCTCTACTCCAGGGACCACTAACAGCATCATCGCTCTCTGAAATCCCAATAGAGAAGTTTACAATATCGTCGTCTACGCTTATTGACTCTTCTACTTGACTTCCAAACCGTGAAATTGGCAATGTGTCTGTAACTAATTGAAGTGCGTCAATAGTATTGGCTGTTATTACTTGAAGTGATAACCCTTTTGTAGCTGGATTGGACAATATTACTCTTGGACGAGTCAAAACTTTGGAAGTAGATGTGGAGAGAGAAGATTTATTTTTTGTTTTCCCGCCAGAATTGTAACTACTGATAGCATCGACGGATGGTCTACAACTAGCCACTGAAATAGAAGACGAATTTTCTAACTCTAAACATATTTCGTCTCCGTTTGGAGAAACTGTTTCTTGTCCTGATTCAGGTTTACTACCTGCTTTATTACATAGATCTATACTCGTCTGTCTAGATTTTTCACAGACTTTTTCATACGTTGAGGGAGTAGTTGGGGAACAACTATTGACTGATATTTCTTCGTGTTTAGATGCGGGTTCAATCCCTTCGATTTTTGATGTTATGAGGGGCGACGCTCTCACAGTACGGATCTCGTTTATTGGATACTTCGCTACTTCATCAGTATTTTCTGAATGCAAATTGAGTTTAAAACTTGGCCTGCTTGTGTGAGCTTTATCGACTGAATTGAAAGGAAATTTTTGTTCTATGTCACTATCAATATTGGTTAAAAGCTCTTTTTCTTTGACTATAGCAAGTTTTTTACTCATTTTTTCACATATACCTTCCTCAGCATGTGATTTAAAACAGTTTGTCGGCTTTTTAGATTGAGGATCATTCGAGTTGTTGACATTAGAGTTCAAGCTCTTGGGTCGAAAATCTATGTTCTGACGGTCTACACTAGTTTCTAGAATCAAAGCATTTATATCGTTTGATGATTTTAAAAAATTTGGGACAATATTTGAAACTTTATTCTCTTTTTTTTTGCACATAGAGCTACACCTAGGTGATAGCGTTGGTTGGTTTTGGTTCGATTCTAAGTCAATTGTTATAGACTCTAGACCTTTGATTTTATCTACTGAATTATTGATAGGCCTCTTCTCAATAATTGAATTTTTGGAGTAAGATGGATATTTTGCGGGGCTCTCCATGAACATCATCTTTCTTGGTGGCCTCGGCTTTATTCGTAACGTAGATGTCAATTCATCTGGAAAAGATTGTTTTGCAGGTGAATATGATTTTTCATCATTCTCACTATTATGCTCGACGGAGATGATTATTTTATCTTTTTTAAGCAAGGGAGTAACTTTTTTACTTAATAAGCCATTTTGATTCGTTACTTGTCTCTCCACTTGCAACTCAGCATGCATAGATGAAGTGTTCGTGGCCGAGTTAGATAAGAAGTAAGAATTATCGATTAATGATCGCTTATCGGATAAGATATTGCCTGGAATAAGAGCACTACTTAAACTATTTTCACAGATCGTCTGTACAGTTATTTTTTTCTCTGCTATATTTGTATTATTATTCTGGCAACTTTGATTAAGAGAAGCTAGTTTTAACGATTTAGATCCCTTCTGGTTTTTCTGTGCACTATTTTTAGATGTATTTAAAGACAGTGTTACTCCTGTAAGCTGACTAGCATAAGTATTTTTCGATTTTCGAGATAAATAAGCCTTCTGTTCTAAACTTTTGCTTTGCGTGGATATATCTTGCTGATATTTATGATCCCCATTTTCATGAGGTGATGGGCTGATTGAACTTTCTTCCGTCAAATCGACGACATCCAGGGGATAATTTTTTTTACTTTGATCTTCCGCGATAGATCCAGATGGCATTGTTATGGCACCTGATGTGGCTGGAAATAACGTGGATTTCTCAACTTTGGAATTTTGATGGCAGCTAATGTCTTTTGGTGGTAAGAAAGTTAATTTGCAGCGCTTAGCTTGGCGATCATGGTCCCATGGTTTGTCGGCTACTTTTGTGGGATATTGACTAAATTTTCTTGGTAATATAGTCCGCATGCCAGTTTTACCATGGTGATCGTTTGGAGTAAGCATTATGTTACGTTCTTTAGGTTGATGGTACAATATTCCATTTGGCTTGCCACTAGATGTCATGGCTTGTAATCCATTCGAAATCCTCGCAGCTGCTCTTTGCTCTCTATCCTTAATTCTTTGACTTATGAGGCCATTTAAATCTTGATCTTTTTTCCCATAATACTCCACAACCTGTACGAGAATTCCATTACGTTCTAGGTGTAGTTCTTCACCTTCTTCTATGCCATCCTTTTGCCAGTGTGCATCACCAACAAAGTTAGAACTTTCATCGTATACCATAAGCCGCCTATTGAATGTGTGAAATCTAAGACGCCCATCCTGCCAACGTTTCTGCTTTCTTTGAACATCTCTGGTAAACAGACAGCGATATTCAAGGACTGGTGCAGTATTAGGGACTGTTGTATCATGTGGTTCCGGGTTTACAATTTGTGATATCATTGGTAAGCGCAATATGCTGATAATTAAGCATCCTAAGTTGTTGCTTTATTTCTGGAACAAATTTCAGTTTGAATAGTTGTGCCGTCAAATGATGGCCACGGGACCTTGTTGCTATCTTCGATATTTATATCACGTGCTTTTCACATCCTGGTCTTACACAGTCCCCCTAACTCCCTTATCAGAGTAGCTGTCATCCTATGTGAATAGTCCTAGATCTCAGCACAGACTTTTCTATGTAAAGAGCGATTCTTTTGATGAAGAGTTAGCTAATAATCCAGTGCTTCTTACACTTTGATGGCCTTACTCTACAGTATCTAAACCTATCTCAATATGAAGTCCATGAACCGCCAAGTTACGAAGTTCCTAAGGAAAGATTCAGGCAGGGCTTCAGATGTAGCAGTGTTGCTTAGTGAGTATGAGGAAGCTGATAGGGTGTTGACAAAGGTGTGTCATCTGAATTAGGGATGAGGTAGCAACTGATCTAAGCATTCAGATAATTGAGTCCTCAAAAGCATGGCGTGATTCCTGGGTATCAATACTCACTTTTCAAAAAGAAATGACCTCAACCTTTTCCGAAATATACAATCCAATCGTTGGCTCAAGTGATGGACATGGGCAGGAGCCTAAGATAACACCACAGGAGCAGCTGGATGGTACACGTAAACTTGAAGCGGCTTATGCAGACTTGAGATCTGAACTTCAGCAAGAAATAGAGATGATAGATTCTAGAATAATTTCGCCAGCTATTTCTATCAAAGAATACATGCAACCATTAAAGAAAACAATCAAGAAAAGAGAAAACAAGCGTCTAGATTGGGAAATGTACACTGATCGCGTGAATGGATATGCAAGAAAGATGAGAAGGACGGACAGCGATAATGCTGCTCTAGCAAAAGCCGAGCAAAATATGGCTCATGCTGCTAATGTTAGTTGCAGAGTGGTCTTAACTTCAGACTCCTTGGCTAATATACTAGGCCTTCCAAGTTATAGACGATCACCTTCGAGAGATCCTCCCTCCAATCATATCTGCCGCATTCTCTATTCTCCCGCACCTTCTCGGAGCACAAATACTCATCCAACATGCCTTACTAGCTCTATATTACACAGCTCTTCAAAACTATTGTGATGAAACAAACTTCCTTGAACAATCGTCACCCACAGAAGATGTATCAACAGTCTGGCGGACAAAGTTTAACTTTGCACTGGAAAAAACTAAGCCTCTGAAATGTATAGGAAGGGGTAGATCCGCAAATTATCCAAAAGATGTGACGAAGAAAGATCCCGGATCTTCCATGGTCAAGAGTCCTTTTACAAGTGTTAAGATTCAACGACCGAGTCAAAATCTTGTAGCTATATCTCAGCATGAATCAACTTTGCATGACGCACGAATTCCTCGCATCTCATCACATCAGTCCTTGACTACGGCCTCATCCAAGTCTAGTAGGTGCCCTTCTAATAATGACTTACGTCAAATTATTCCCGTCAACAATTCATTACCACCTCATTCGATATCAAAGTCGGGGTCTTTGGTCTCCGAAATAAAAAAGAAGAAAAAGCCACCACCGCCACCACCCAAACGAATTGGTCTGAAAAATCCGGAAATTTTTGCAACAGCTTTATATTCATTCGAGGGACAAAATGACGGTGACTTAAGTTTTAATGATGGTGACCAAATTAAAATTTTAAAAAAGACGAACAGTACAGATGATTGGTGGGTCGGTGAACTTCGGGGGAAGCAGGGCAGCATTCCGGCAAATTATTTTAAGATCTGCTAAGGCGATATCTTCAATGTAATGAAAGAAGAAGACCGCGCAAATAAATTTCGCATGATAATTGGATATAGGATCTAATTAATCTAAGTCCTAGAATGCGAAATATTTTTAATCAGCAAGGTAGGCGAGGGGGATTTGGACTCCAAAAAGCAGGCCACTAATAAATAACTGATTTATCAAAGTATACAGGAGAAGTTTATATTTCAATAATAGTATAAAGTTTTGATCCATAACACCATCAAGGGATCTCACATGGAAAAATTGATAGGATGAAAAGATGCTTTGTGAACTATTGACAAGCTAAATCAAGGTTTGGCCGTTGTGAAAAATAAGGTAATTATCTAGAGTTGTGAAATTAAACTGACGATTCTTTTTCCTTTTCAAATATTCAAAAGGTAATCAGTTATTCGCTGGAACATATGTTAAATATCCCGTTTAAATCATTTAATATGGATTCATCTATCGAGCTGTCAAAGGTGAATGGTAATTCGTGTGAATATTAGAAGAACCTCCTGATCTCAAAGGCACCAACACCCTAGATTTCACTCCCAAATACCACTAAGTTATGTTTATTTACATAGACTAGTAGCCCCTCAAAGAGTTTATAATGTAGGAAAGTTACAAAATATTTACTTATGCGAGCATACCTTTGCCATCCATGCATAACAGCACTACGAGAAATTTGATCGACTCTAACTTGATTTGGATTAGTGATATTCTGTCACAAGTGAGAAAATTAAAGTAAATCATTGGGGAAATTACGTAAAAGCCTCTGACACAAGAGATTCGAAACGAGTACTTGATTTTGGAGGAATTACTACTCGAACAAGAGCTAGCTTCATTTTCCCCTGAAATTTATGTGATCAAAAAAATATTATGAGAAGATTTTGCCTAAACTCGACGCCCTCCAACAACCAGATATTTTATAACAATTTGCCTGCAATATATCTACCTCGAAAACTTTGGTCCCTCAAGTCTAACCTTGCTCGCCGTATCATCCCGTCATAATCAGATATTGATAAAATTCAGCCAAAGCATTTTTTCCCATTAGAATCTTTATGTTCGGGTTGTTTTCTGCGTGGAGCTCCATTATTATTGTAGTATTGTCTTGTATTCAAAGAAACTTCACAGGCATTTTTGTCGATTACATATGCACTTGAAGTCGATTCTTTTATGACTAAACCTCTAACTATGGCAAACCTTCAGTGGTCAGTTCCAGTTGCTATCAGATAAAGATACGTCTATCTTGATAGAGCCAGCTCTGACGATCATATTCGTTTCATCTTTAATTCCAGGTCTTTGTATAGACTGAGTATTTTCTCTAGCCTTCAAGGTTCAATAGTCTCTTCGTCACATCCCTTGACCTATCATTTAAGAGCTTTAAACATTTACCTCTGCCTTTGATTTGGCTGCAAAATGTGAGTTGCATTTTAACAAGATAGAAGATGTTTCAAAGCTCATTTAGCCAATTAATCTGCATGGACATTTTCGATTATCCTATAACAGGCTGGGATCCATCATATCACTAACGACCCGTTCAGTTGTAGTCAAGTTGCGAATTGTTGTGACGGGCTTTTTTCACGGAATAATAACAGGAGTTAGAGTGATGGTTTACTATTAGCATGCAAATCTAGCAGGCCTGAGTAGGGAACGGTAACGTAACAGTGAATTACGAGCATGTATATAATAAAGCGTAGCCTCCAGTCGAGTTGCCTTCTTCATGCAACGTCTTCTCAATATTATTCTCAATCTAGATGTTCCATTTCTTCCTTGTTTTTTTAGTTTTTTTATTAAAGTCCTAAGCTAAAGCTCTAGGTCCACTATAGGTACAAGACTGGTGGAGCCGGCGGGGATCACTGCTAACAGGCCCAGCTCATTCCAACCATGAGACCCGCTACGGAAAAGTAGAAGGTAAATTATAACTCAGAAGACACCATCCACTCCGACTCCGAAATCGAGACTCCATCCTTCAACCCTAAATTCAAGTACATAAAAGATTTCCTCAGAGAAACGACACTTCTCGCATCGATCCCTTTCGTGTCATGCGTTGTGGCAATGACTAGTTTATCTGATCCCCGCTGAGAGCAGTGGATGAGTGGACGGTTTGGCTATCAAAGCAGCCGGTTTCCTGCGCAAATTTTTTGAAGCTATCGTGGCACTCGGGTCCGAGAAGCTTTTTGACAAAGTCAGCGTGGGATATTGACTTTCTGAGCCTACGTGTTTTTTGTGCTTGACGGCTACAGTGGATAAAGTGGGTTGGAGTAGTTTCCTTCCCGCAAGAGCACTCCATGGGAGCATATGGATTATTAAAACGGCGATGGTATGCCGCAAAATTGCCGTGACCCGTTCGTGCTGCGATTAGTGCCCGGAGGAGGTGCCTAGAGAGAGACAGTTCGGGTGGTTTGCGTCTCCGCACATGTAGGTCGAGTTGGCGGTATTGAGGCGGACAGGCCTCTTCCCACCAGTCGTCTAGCAGCCTCTGTCGTCTGCGATTCATAAGAACACGTAGATATGCCAGAGTACATGATCCTGGTGGTGTCTCCGGGCTAGGCAATTCTCGAAGTGCTGCACGGGCCATGGCGTCTGCCTCTTCATTTCCTTGGATTCCTGCATGCCCTGGAACCCACTTCACTAGCGCTCTGACTGCCTGTTTACTGACTAGAAGCACATATGTTTGCCACGACCCTTCCCCTTTCCTGGACAGTTCGTTCTTCGTTAGTTCCAGTGAGGTCTCTAGAGCCATTCTTGCCCCTAACTTTTCTGCATCCAGCACCTCTCCCCCGTGCTTGATGCCACTTTCAATTCCGAAGAGTTCTCCACTCCTCTTGGTGGCACTAGTTTTTTTTAAATCAATTGGTCCTAAGCTAAAGCTCTATGTCCACTGTGAGTGCAGGACCGGTAGAGCTGGCAGGAATCACTGTAACTTTTCCTACAGCCTAAACTCGTTCCAACCTCGTGAATCGCTGCCAAAGGTGCAGCTGATTAAACAGAAACGAAAATCGAACAAAATCAAAACAGCTCCGTAAGACAGAAGATTCTTCCATGTTTAGCCCGAGTAATGCGCACCTCACACATTCCCTCGTCCGTCACAGCTTCCAAATGACAAATTTACTCAATCTCCGCTGAGAGCAAGAGATGGTTTGGCAGTGTGAAGGGACGAGAATCACGGACGCTGCACGCAAAGGCTGTCACAAAATAATCTATATTTTCTATGAAGAGAACACTTCAGTGGGACAGAGCCAATTTAAGGTGTGTGCTGATGACTACCTTACATAAGCACTTACTAAGCGTCTAACCTGTTGCAATAGACAGGCCTATTTGCCACATACCATTTACATGGAAGGCTGGGCCAGTAAGTCAGCCCAGCCAACTAACACCGGGTAAAACCCGTAACAGGCAGGCACTTTTGATACAGCCGGCATCCTGCTATTGGTTACTAATTGACTAGGAGAGGTATCGTCGGGGTTGCTGTTCCCCAAGCTTCTTCTTCAGATTTCAGCACTCCAAAACCTGATCCCTCGGCCATCGAGACATCCTTCGCTGAAGCGTTCATTGCCTCTTTGGCCCTTTTGGCTGCAGCCCGAGCTCGTGCTACCTCCGCGAACCTCCCTTGGTGGATATGGTGAGTCCATGCGAGCAGCTCCTTTGTCACCGGCCCCCGACAGTTGCGACACTTAGTGAGAGCCTTGCAATCGACTTCCGAGTGCATATCTGATCCGCAGCTTCAGCAGACTGGAGCGTGGGAGCAACCACGAGTGGCGTTGTGCATGGGTCGTATGATAGATGTTATTCACGAACTATCTAGATCTAGGTACAAAATAGAATCTTAAACTGGAGAGGAAATTAACTGGGGGAACCCACTGTATGAATGATCTGGCGGAGGGCAAGACTGAACACCTGTCAGTAGTGCCCTCTACGAACCTGGGAGTGAAACATTCTCCCAGAGCCAAGTTCAGTCAAATTTCGCAAAACCGAACAAGTTGGCCCACGAGGCAGTGATTCAAATTACTCCACCACGTCAAATTTTCGCTCCCAACGAGATCGATTCCTACCTAAGCCTCATCAGGTCTACAAGTACGACCAAGTACATCCTCATTCCAATGATCACACCTCTCGCCGACTTTCTTTGGCCTCAGCCGGTCACCAAATACACGCCCATGCCGATATTTATACCCGACGAAGGAAACAAAGCGTGGCGCACAAATCTTGGAGACTGTTCTTTGGGATAGACGTGAGAAGATTAAGGACAAGTTCACAGGATGATGCGAAGGATAGATACAGTATCGACGGGCGTGGAATATTGGCAAGGAGTTTCTACAAATTGAGCTTTGTGCGTGCCAAGTCTTCGGTTGCGAGAGTGTAGGCGACACTATAAACACCGCCATGGTTGGATGGTGCGGTGGTACATCGTCTTGGCCGGTCTGCCGAGTAGAGTCTGGATAGCTCGGACACATATCCCACTCGAGAGTGTAGATCGCTGGTTCAAATCCGGCAAAACACAACCACATTTCTCGCGGCGCTAGTATACATGGATGACGAAGGCATGCTTGGATAACCAAAGGTTTCGAAATTCCCTTTAGTGGGTACTAACGGAGGAGGGTCGACTGTTTGTGTAAGCAAGCATACCTCATAGTGGTATCCAGAGTATGAGTGTCTATAACGTCAAAAGAGTCATCCAACATGTATGCATAGCACCGGTAATGTGTCATAGCTCCATAGCTGAATACACTTAAATGATTAAAAAAAAAAGAATGATCTGGCTTTATGCCAAGGTTTCGAGTTATGAAAGTAAAGTGGATAATATGAGGAACAAGATGTGGGGGATGCCTCTTGCCCAGGTGCCTAGTTGCTCGGCTTCTCTGCAATCCGATCGAGCTAGCCCTATCACCACTTAACCATCCGAGCATTCAACCATTATGATGCAGGATGTTTGGGTCTCCCATCATCCATCAGCCCTATCTCATATTAATCCTTCAATATTCAGATGACTTAGGCTTGTGCCT